CTCCGCTGTTTTTTCGTAGACAACCATAGCCGTCTCCTTTGTGGCAGAATCCCTGATGCAGAGATTTAGCTGGTCAATTTCGGACCTCATTTCAACAAAAAGCGCGATATTGTCATCCGTTCAGATGGACACTGGTAGTGTGTCCCTACCGTCGTCCATAAGCATGTAGGAGGGCCACTGGTAAGTCAGAGCTACCGCAGCGTCTTTGTTTATCCCCATTTACTCTTTTGTCAGCTTCACCACTTCCTTGAACTTCATCCTTGCGCTGAGAAAAACTGCTTGGCTATTCCCTGTGCGCTTCGTCAGAAAAGTCCACACTCCATTCCCGCCTTCGAACCATTTCTCCCTCATAAGCAAAATCATTTGTCTCCCCGACATCTACATTCACCAGAAAGAAAACAAACACTAAATAACTAACTACTAACTCAAAGTAGTCACTATATTCATCGAGGAGTAGTCATATTCATCGAGGAGTAGTTATACCTTCGTAAATCTTCGTTGTAGATAAACTCTAACAATGTTGTTTACTAGCGGCGGTTTAGGATATTATGAGGTTGTGTCTATTTATGTCACCCATTACAGACCTCATGATATTAACCTATACGTACAAGCCTTCACTACACGACAATGTTTCAAGTTCGGAGAAAGTAATCCAAAAATTTTACGTTGTTAGTGTTCTAGAAACATGATAGCGTGTGTGTTTGTGTAAAATGGTGTGGTCCTATCGGGGGGTCAGAAAGACTCCGTTTACTGTGACTGTTAGTGCACTTAACGACATGCCTCAAATGGCTTGGTCAACACAAGTTCAAGATTTAAAAGAAAAGTCAAGTAAAGTTGATGATTTATAATGGCAACTATGAAGTTCATGCTTTGATTGGCAATAATTTGAAAGTTGATGCTTTTTATGACAACTAGGTGTTTAGCCTGCGACTTGCGCGGGCCGAAAAGTTTTATTGAAACCTAAAATAAATTTTTTTGTCATAAATCAAAAATAATTAGATCAATAATTTGATACATACAAAATTAAAATAAAGCTAACCTATGAAAGTAATCATTGTCTAACATTAAAAACTTTAAAATCAATAAACACAAATTAAAATAAGATTAATATAAATTATTCATCTTTTCCTCTTTTTATCTTTTAATTTTTTTTTTCTCTATCATTTTCTTCTTTCTTTCTTTTTTTGTTTTTTTGTTTTTTTGTTCTTCTTTATTTTCTATGTCTTTTTTTTACTTTTTATTCTGCTGGTTTTTCTTTTTCACGTATTCTTCTTCTTCTTCTCCACATATTTCCCTTTTTCCTCTCATACATCTTTTGATTTTCTTCTCTTCTAGGTTTTATTCCCTTTCTTCTTCTTCTTCAATGTTTTATTATTCTATTTCTTCTTTTTTTTTTCTTTTCCTTTTTCATTGTCATCGTCTTCTTCGTTATCACCAACTTCCTATTCTTCTGGTGTTTTTCGGCTTTTACCTCATCTTCATATTCTTCTACTTTCTCAAATTCTCATCTTTAAG